GGGGCCGTCCTGGGCACCGAGGAGGGGTGAGGATTTGTAGAGATGTCCGCCAGGAGCCCCCAGGAATCATCTGATTTACCCCCCCGGGCACCGGTGATCGCCGTGAGGCCCCAGAGAGCAGAGTGGCTTGTCTGAGGTCCCGGTGCCCGTAAGAGGTGGGGACAGCCCAGGGACTCCCCGGTGCGTGCTCTCTGCCGCCGTGTCACCTGGTGCTGAGCCCCCACGACACTCAGCACGGACTCACACTACTCTGCCCCGTCTCCGGTCACTTCTACGAGGAGGAAGCCGGCCCCCTCCTCGCGGCCGCCGCCTCCCCCAGCCGATGCTGCAGCTTTGACATGCGGAGGTTTGGGGACAGCGCAGGACTGAGGTGTCCCGGGACATCAGGACTTCTGGATGCAGGAGGAAGGGGCTGCAGATCCAGGGCGGGGGTGCGGGGGGAGGAAGCTTCCCGGTGGCCTGTGAGAACCGCCATCAGGGCACTTCTACGGACTTGACCTTGCACTCGTCAGAAACCAGCGTTCGCCCAACACCGGTCGCTGTCCAGTCTCCGTGAGTTGTGTGCTCCAGTCGCACAAGCGCTCGTGTAATATTTTTAATCACATCGACATTTTAACAGCCTAAATATACTCATTACGGAAGAAAGCTATCCCACCCTCAATGAAAAGAACGTAAACAGAGGTGACTGAGCACACAGAGGCAGAAGTGTGGACGGTGGACAAAAAGAGCAGCCAAGCCCCCGAAAGCCTCCCGCGACTGCCGCGTATTGGGACGCGCGGGAGCACACGGCTGCGATCTCACCGAAAGGGGCTGGTGTCCCCCCTCGCTCGCCAAGTCCATATGTTGAAGCCCTGACTCCCAAAGTGACTGTACTCGGAGACGGGACTTCTAAGGAGTTCATTAATTCAGGTTAAATGGGATCATAAGGGTAGGGCTCTCATCCGATAGGACTGGTGTCCCTCTAGCAAGAAGCGCCAGGGGCACCTCGGTGGCCCCGTCGTCGAGCCTCTGGCTTCGGCTCAGGTCACGATCTCGCGGTCCGTGAGTTCGAGCCCCGCGTCGGGCTCTGTGCCGATGGCTCGGAGCCTGGAGCCTGCTTCCGATTCTGTGTCTCCCTCTCTCTCTGCCCCTCCCCAACTTGTGCTCTGTCTCTCAAAAGTAAATAAACAGTTTTAAATTTTTTTAAATAAAAGGAAAGCGAGCAAGCAGCAGCACGAGGGATGCACGCACAGAGACAAGAAACGGGGGAAGGTGGCCGGCTTCCCGGCCCTGCGGACGCCTTGCCCGTGAACGTGCAGCCTCCAGAACTGGGAGAAAATAAATCTCTGTCGTCTGAGCCCCCAGGTCCGTGGTGCTTGGTTGTGGCCGCCCGAGCGGACGAACGGCTGACACACAGCACATGCTCCGGGGGCGAGCAGGGTGTGCGTCACCGGGAGCTCGTGAAACGTGCAGGCGCCCGGGCCCCCGCCCAGACCCGCTGGGCCAGAAGCTGCATTTTGGCAGCCCCCATCCCCCAACCCATGCCCGGTCTGCACCCTTTAAGGCACACCCCTCCTGCCGCTTGTCAGGTGGGGGTCTCCCCGAGGCTCCAGAAAATACCGCAGGGACTGGCACCCCCGCGCCCGTGTGTCACGCGCGTGGTGTGCACGCAGTCGCGAGGCGCCTCCGAGGTGGTTTCCAACGTTTTATTTCACAGACTGTTCGGGTGTGCCCGACGAGAGACACGTCACAGAGACACGTTAGAAATCAAACCGGGTTTATTGAAACAACAAAACAAAGGCAACGTGGTCCCCGTTCGTGCAAAGCACACACACACACACAATTTACAATAAACTTTTTGTACACAGGAAGTAGCAAAATACATCATTTTTCATAGAAAAAAGCACACATGTAAGCTGCGGGCTGGGTGAGCCTACAGACAATATAAAAAAAAAAAAATCAGAACACGGTGGGGGGCAAAAATCTGAAGGAAACGAGAACCTTTTCGTTTGGGGGGCAGGGTCAGACCCCGAAACACCGCTGGCCTGATTCGTCATCTTTTTGTGGGTCAAGTGCCCACGGGGGCAACGGGTCCTGCTAACACGCGAAATTAGAGATGGTCTCTGACTACAGGGGCCTTGCCTTCGTAGGCCTGTTTCCATCTTCGGAAGGAAAATGGTTCCAGTTTCAAAATGTCTGTGAGCACGGGAGGGACCAGTTCTGGTTCGGGGTAGGGGGGGAGGGGGCATCTGTCTATCCTGTTAGACGGGCCGGTTCATGAGACATTCGGGAACCCAAACGAGCCCCCAGATGATGGGCTGGACTCGCTCCGGAAGTTTCAGACTCTCCCTTGGGTGGGACGCCTTCACGGCCAGCCCCCCCCCCC